TACTTACTTAATATTATAATGATTTTTGCTTAATATTATAAATAGTTTGTTTGTACCTCTAGTGTAGAGGAATAACAGTTTGTTTATATTGATAGAGTGAAGTGCAATACGGGTCACATCCCATCCCATTATTTCAAATCATATTAAGTTACTTTCACTCCATTCCATACTCTATTCAATTCATAATTCTATATATATTTGTATTATATATAGAATATTCTTATCACAGAATTAGCTGAAAACAGATTAACATTTTTATTTTTTGCAAATCATTTGATTTGTTGATTTCATGTTTGACATTAATTTGCATTTATATCATATAAATGAGTACAAAACTGTTTGAAATATATTTTAGTAATGCATTACTTATCACATTCAGATTCTTATGTTGTATTTATGGCAAACAAATCCACTTTCATTGCGAACAATGAACTAAAAGCAAAGTCTACGTCAGACCCTATTATGTAATAATATAGGCTTTATAGACAAGCATTCAATTTTGATCTTTAGATTGTTATTAGCATGAAATAAGAAAGTAAAGTTGTCTTCAAAAATAGTTTTAAATTTTCGGTTTATTAAATGCATACAAAATTATATTGATTACTAAAAGTAACTTTAATTTAAAACATTTAGATTATTATTTAAAAGTATTATTTAAAAGGCCATTTACTTAAATTTGGCATTAAATATAGAATTATATAAGTTATTATATAATATATAAACCTTGACATTGAATTAACGATTATATCTGAATAACAGTGAATGAATCGTAAAGAACATTATGTCATATAAAATATGATTCAATCATATGTTAATACAAAACTATATTTAACTCAGCTCTCAGACATTATCAATATTCCATTAAATATTAATATTAATACTCTGATAAAAGTATAAGTGCATAGAGAATATTAATACAACATTTTCAGTATTGTACTATTTTTAAACTCAGGCTTAGAATCTACGCAATGTCCGTTTAGTTGAAATTTTTAAATACAAAATATTACTTTATTTTTAATTAAATTTTATTTTATAATTTTATCTCATTATATTCAAAAGAAATATTTTATAAAGTAATATTTTTGTAAACAACAACTTAATACATTAGAATATTTTAAGTTAATTATTCTGTGAAGAATCTAAAGTCTAGAAAGTATTTTATGTCTACAAACTATAATATCATATATTTTATTATACAATTATCCGTAATCTGAATAATTACAATCAACCATCGGATAACACCCACACAAGTCTAACGTAAAGTCAATAACTTTTATAAAAATGAGTGATACAATACTTGTATTGTTAACAGTGTATATTCTCAACAATATCAAAATATTAATTAAAGTTGTGTTTTATAAATAGTCTCAATTGATAATCAAGAATAACAACATCTGCACCAATGCTTATTAACTAATTTAATATGATTACATATTTCTATTTAAATGCAAACAAATTCTTAACTTATTTTCATTTAATACACATATCGTAATAATAATAATAATAATATTGATACTTTGAATAATACATTTATGCTAAGAAATGAGGGCTAATATGGGTTTGAAATTCATGTTGAAAGTGTGCTAAACACTAATTGACTCTAATATGAGCTTAAATGCAAATATAATTAATTAAATAATTTTGTTTTGTATTGCAATAAAGGGCAACACTTAGGCTTTATTTAGAGTAAACATTTGAGCAATTCTTGTGTAAATTCTTTATGACATGATTTGTATGGACTGTTGATATACAGGCAAAGCTGTTCCGTTCGTTGAGATGGTTGTCGCCCATTCATCTATACTCACAATATCTGCCATAAGCTTCGAGAGGGTGAGTATTAAAACACTTTTTATTTCTCAATACAACCCATATTACCATTTATTATATGATATTTATGTCTTTTATTAATAGTATTATGCAATTTGCAAACCACTAAAAGCTGGTTACAAATGTACTAAACTCAGAGCGTAAGTCTTTTACACCGTTTTCTATGGTATACTTTACCTAATTATTTGCTTTCTATTTGAACAACAGTTTAATAATAATAGCAATCGTTTGGATTATTGCTATTTTATCGACAACACCCATGTTATACATAACCGAACTATCATTCGCCGAATACGTTGACGGAAGTATAGTTCCCGTCTGCCTGAGTCGGGTGCAGGGGTTACTGGAAACTCTATATTTCTTCATAATATTGGCCACCTTTTTTGCTCTACCATTCCTTATACTCATAGTGCTGTATGGGCTGATAGCCAAGAATCTGGTCATGGATTCACGACTAGTCTGTTCCAGTTCTGAAGAATACCAAATGAGACTTCGGAAACAAGTGGTGTTTATGTTGGCGGCAGTTATGCTAAACTTTTTCATCTGTTTATTACCTTTTCGTATATTTTCGCTTTGGATTCTCGTTGTGCCGCAGGAAAGGCTTAATGAGCTCGGAATGGAAGGTATGTCACAGTAGTGGTCGGGTAGAGTCAGTTGCTAAACTTTTTCATCTGTTTATTACCTTTTCGTATATTTTCGCTTTGGATTCTCGTTGTGCCGCAGGAAAGGCTTAATGAGCTCGGAATGGAAGGTATGTCACAGTAGTGGTCGGGTAGAGTCAGGCATCACTATTATGACTGAAAACACGGTTTACTCTCCATCTTCAGTAATATGTCTGTGCTCTACATTCAAGTCTAGATAATTAAATTCCCATTTAAATAGACGTCAGTTTAGACCTGATTTTGAAACCACTTGCGTATAGAATATAATTAACAACTATTCAAATCCTAGATTGTCTTACAAATAATTCAACATTTTTTTTGTTTTATTTTACTGTCAAATCTTTTCATCAAAAAATGTTTATATATTATTAAAAATCATATTATATTAAACTTTCATAATATGATTGGTGCCTATAATTGTTGACTGAAAAGGATGACAGAGTGTTGTGTCGAAAGGATTCTTGCAATTCTTGTTATGATAGCTCGCATTGTTTTGCTCAGGGCTTTAGTTCATGTCTTATGTCTTTTGTTTTACTTTGGCTTTAAGATTAGTTGCAATGATTCCGTATCACAAAAAAGTTTGAATTCTTCGCAATCAAAATGTATAAATAAATAGCATATGAATTGGGAGCGAAAACTGTAGTCATTTTGATGTCAACTCATATTTCAATGAATTCTGAAATATACCTAAAATTTGAAAGGTAACATTTCTAATTTTAACAAAAGGCATAAGATTTCCAATGATGTTAAACGATATGAAAACGGCTTATAACGAAATGTATTTGTCCATTATTTGAGAACTGTACGTAACATTACATATACTTTTAAGACTTTATGGTTTATGTTTTAGTGCAACAAATCCTATACTTTACAACATCTGTAGCTCTAATTTTCGGAGAGGTTTTTGTCACACTTTGGGGATTAGAAAGATTCACAAACGACTGATGAGAAGAAACGGCACATCTGTTCATACGTCCATTACTTTGGGGAACAGTAGTGTTAAAAGCAGATCAACTCATTCTTCTGCTAATAATAATTATAATAATAATAATAATAACAATAATAACAGCATTACTATGAATAACAGTATCGCCAGCAATGACTGCACCGCTTCCACACTCAATACCACTACCACTGATAAGACAAACTACAAGTCAAACAGTATTGGTATTCATATCCAAAAAGTGGTCAATACTTTGATTACTGTCCAACGAAACGGACACAGAGTCTAATGAAAAATATATATTTTTAATTATTTTGGTTAATATTTTAATAAATAAAAACAATAGTACTATTACATATTTAAAGATATTTATAATAAGAATAAGTCATACTAAAGGGTCTTATATAGACATATAAAGTAATATAACATTTCCTTATTTTGAATACTTATAAGAGATATATATATATATCAGACTAAAAAACATATAACTTAAGAATTCATGAAAGATTAATATCTCTTACCGTATATCTTCTGTAATATCTGAGAATATATTGTATATAAGTTATATACCGTAATACAGTTAACAATATAAAGTATATAAATATTATATTTGGCTACACATACTATTCATAAAATATTCATAAAATATATTCTTTAAAATTGAGCATATTTTGAAAGTTTCTGTAAAAATAATCATATTTTCATTGATAAGATTAATCAAATAAAACCATTTGTTGGCATTTGGTACATAATTGTCCTATCATTGTATCATTTATTCTTATAATTTCATTCATTTGAGTCCAATTAGACAATTAGTCTAATGATAATTTGAATAATGAATGCGAGCTAATTAAACCATTTGTTGGCATTTGGTACATAATTGTCCTATCATTGTATCATTTATTCTTATAATTTCATTCATTTGAGTCCAATTAGACAATTAGTCTAATGATAATTTGAATAATGAATGCGAGCTAATAGGTGGTCAAGGCTATAATGTGGGTTAATGACCTGTAGTCAACTTATTAGGAAATTAGATATGAAATGAGGTATTTACTCTGCTTATATTGGAAAATTTATTTCTGGGTTAATTAACGAAAATTATCGGATAAGAGAAAATTAATTATTTACACCGTATTTCACTATATTTAGCCGACATTTGAAGACAACAAATCACACCATGAATACAATATGACATTAAATAAGATGCAAATGTGATCACATAAACAATCGCCTCTAAGTGGGTTACCGTATAATGTAGCCGTCAATTAAATCATTCATTTCATTGAAAGTCTAATCAATAGTCAATAAAATATGTCTAATAGTGTCGTAAACACAAAAAAGATCTGGATAGAATTAAAGTATAAATTTTTTATTATTATCACTTAACTATTCTATGCTTAAAACCGGATTTTAAGATAAAATTAATTTTACAAATTTATTAATTATGAGAATTAAGTTTACAAAACCAATCGGAGAGAGAATACGGTTTATATTATATGATAAGAAAAGCCTAAAAACATAATTAAATGTGAATCCAATCCATGGGTGATAAGGGTGTGAAGACATTAGGCGTCGGACTCGGCAGCGGCAGTGGTGACAGACGTGTCGAGACCAACGATGGGAACAATGAGGTTGTCTTTGGACATGAGGTTGTATTTGATGACAAAAGCGGTGAATCTCTTGCAGAGGAACATCTCGTTCTCGAACTCATCGAAGAGCGTCTTGTGGTGGAAGAAGGCGTGGCTGAAGATACGGTACACCCGGCGGCACACGGATCCCAACTTAGCCACCGATGACTCCTTTATGGTAACCCTCGACGGGAAGTACTTATTGGAGTTGAGGAGACAGGCGGCGCCGTCCAACGTATGGCGCGTGTAGTCGATGGCCGGACACTCTTTAGGCGTCTTATGGGCGGCGCATAAGAAGATCCACTGCTCGGTGGCCGTCATCTGAGTGCACGTCTGCGGCGAGCATTCCGTCTGTAATTTGACGGCCAGTCGGTTGAGTTGGAGACAGAACTGTCTCAAGTGCTCGTACTTCCAGCCGCCCTCCTCCTGACCANAGACAGGCGGCGCCGTCCAACGTATGGCGCGTGTAGTCGATGGCTGGACACTCTTTGGGCGTCTTATGGGCGGCGCATAAGAAGATCCACTGCTCGGTGGCCGTCATCTGAGTGCACGTCTGCGGCGAGCATTCCGTCTGTAATTTGACGGCCAGTCGGTTGAGTTGGAGACAGAACTGTCTCAAGTGCTCGTACTTCCAGCCGCCCTCCTCCTGACCATCCGGTGCCTGCAGTATCTCCTCTATATTGGACGGGTCTTTGCGTATTGTCTGCTGAATGAACTGCTGGACAGCGATCGTTGAGTCCATCTCCTCGAAGGGCTCGTCCGCCCACCGGTAGAATGAAGACGACTGACACCCCTTCCGATTGCGACGACTCGTCGCCGATGTCTCGCTCATAGTTGCCATCAGTTGTCTCAACCAATTGATCCCAAAGTGAGTGTCACTCGACTGTCAGCGATGTCTTCAACACTGAGTCACACAAATGGATCCCAAATGAGCGCTTCATAAATGACGTGCACTTGTGATGTGTGGTTGTAGTCGTGTGTCACTCACTGTTGTATTGATTCAGTGATTGAGTCAATGATTGCACCAAAAGTTTATTCAACCGATCGTTCAATTGGTTTCGCATTGACTCTGAATTCAACACATTTTGTAAGAGTTGTCACAAACTTATGCAAAGTTTGTCTCAAATGTCAGTAAAGGCTTGCATTTGTGTCTCTCATAGCAAATGAGACATAAGTTTCTAGTTTTCAAATCACAAATCTTGTGGTGAATGACAGATGTTTGAGCTCTCGTGAGATTTGCTTGGAGTTCAGCATTGGATGGATATGTCAAGGAGTGGTAGGTTTGAGACAATTGTCACGAAATGCCATTTAAGGGCATTAAGTGTGGAGAAGGAGTTCCTATTGTGCGGTCAGTATATCATTGTTATTACCATTGATTGTCATCATATTCATGTGATGTCTATGTCATGACCAGGAATGGGATCAACTCTTCACATCTTGAGAACCACTCGCAATGGTATCAATGAATTGATTTCGAGTCAAATCATATTCAAAACACATGTCATTAACGGAATTAAAACTTTTATCAACTTTGAAAGCGATTCCTATATCGAGATAATTGTCTCTATTTATGGCAATCGGTTCCTAAGTATCTATAAGTTTATATATAACCACAAGAATTCAAACCATATATTCAATGGTTTACTCGAAAGCCATAACTTTTACGATTGGATTCTTGCGGTGCAAATGACTCGGAGTCTGGCGTTTGTGGTCAAAGCCCACAATCAAGTGGTGATCTTTGACTGGCAATCAAAGCAGATAATAGACACCATCTCTGGAGTCGACAGAAGTCTTCTGTATTCTGCAGAACTCCTTCACGTGTCTGAATCGCCCAAAGGCTTTGTCCTGACGTCGGGAACTGTTTTCAAGCAAATAGTGATCTGGAGTTCATTTACCACACAAACTGATAATCAGTATGAAGTCAAATGCCAACAAAGACTTGAAGGACACGACGGAGTGATCTTTGCTCTCAATTACAACAAAGCACTCAATCTCTTAGTGTCCGCTTCAGATGACAGAAGTGTCCGCATCTGGTCTTCACAATTGTCTTCCGATTCCAACTTAAATCCCATTGAGTTTTGGGATAAAAACAAATTCACTTTAAGTCATGTATTTTATGGCCATTTATCTCGCATATGGAAAGTTGTGTCCATTTGTGATCCCTATCCCATAGTGATCAGTGTTGGCGAAGATTCTTCCATATATTTCTGGAATATTAATAACAATAAATTGATTCAAAAAGTTGACGGACACAAGAACTCAAGCGTTTGGAGTTTGGCATTGGATTCACAATCAATGATATGTTTAAGCGGTGGCAGCGACTCATGTATTACTTGCACTGATGTCAAGAATATAATCACACCATTCAGTTCACAAGTTAGATATGATTTGCAACCCAAACAAATCAAATTTATAGCCTTTCAAAATCTTAGCATTTTTTGTGCCGCAGTTTCGGGTGATTTTGTGATAACATCTGCTGTTATCTGTAATAATAGTGCCAATGATATCAAAAACAGTGACTATAATAAAGTCTTTAAAACATATTCTGCAATCGATGTGAACGAAGATCGCAATCAATTAGTATTGGGATCCAAATGCGGTAATATAGCTATCGTTGATTTGAACGCTAAATCAGATAAACCATATGAAGTGTCCATTAAAAAAGCTCACAATTCAAAAGTATTTAGCGTTAATTTTGTGGACTCATCTCATTGTATGAGTTGTGGTTTTGACGGGGAGATGAAGGTTTGGTCGTTAAAGACATTGGAAGTAATCAGAAAACATGTTTTGCCAAATAGTAGGCACCGGTGGCCAGTGGCCGCACTTCTAACTAATGAATTGGTTGTGGTGGGCGACCGGTGCGGAAGTGTTTTTGTCTATACGAGTCAAAGTGAACAACCAATCAACGAGTTTCGGCATTTGCACGGAACTAATGGAGTGACAGCTATTAAAATGAAACCCAAAACCAATTTAATGTATTCGAGCGGAAGAAATGGCAAAATAGTTGAGTTTTTATTGGAAGACAAGAATTGCATTCTCTTAAGAGTTTATCGCATTTTTGCGGACATGGAATGGATCGGAAACTTCTGCTTCGATGCCAACACTCACCAAATGTCATATATTTATGGTTTCGATTCAAGAAATTTTGTGGTTTGGGACGAAAGGGAGCAGAGATTTATAGAGAGCATAGACTGCGGAGGCGGTCACCGGTCCTGGGATTTCGTTGTCCATCAAAATCGATACTATTTTTGTTACACCAAACAGGAAAATATGTATTGTTATGATAAACAGATGTCTAAAATCAGAGTCAACTCCGACCTAATGGTCAGCAAAATGTCTCACTCGAAGAAAATTAACTGCTGTTCCCTTCTGTTCACCACTTCTTCCATGTATTTCGCGACCGCCGGAGAGGAGAACGTCATTCATATAAATAGTTTAGATATGAAGACACATGCCTTTCAAATTGAATTATACCTCTTCGGCCACATATCCAACATCTCTGCCATCACTTGTATGAAATGGCAAAATAGTTGAGTTTTTATTGGAAGACAAGAATTGCATTCTCTTAAGAGTTTATCGCATTTTTGCGGACATGGAATGGATCGGAAACTTCTGCTTCGATGCCAACACTCACCAAATGTCTTATATTTATGGTTTCGATTCAAGAAATTTCGTGGTTTGGGACGAAAGGGAGCAGAGATTTATAGAGAGCATAGACTGCGGAGGCGGTCACCGATCCTGGGATTTCGTTGTCCATCAAAATCGATACTATTTTTGTTACACAAAACAGGAAAATATGTATTGTTATGATAAACAGATGTCTAAAATCAGAGTCAACTCGGACCTAATGGTCAGCAAAATGTCTCACTCGAAGAAAATTAACTGCTGTTCCCTTCTGTTCACCACTTCCTCAATGTATTTCGCGACCGCCGGAGAGGAGAACGTCATTCATATAAATAGTTTAGATATGAAGACACATGCCTTTCAAATTGAATTATACCTCTTCGGCCACATATCCAACATCTCTGCCATCACTTGTAGTTCCCCTAAGAAGTGTCCGAACACTTGTTATATGGTATCTGTGGGCGGAAGGACTCAACTCATGCTTTGGTTCATAGAAATTAAGGACAAGAATTTATTTTGCAAACAATTATTGAATAAATTCTTATGGGATTCCAATGATATGCATAATAGGACTAAAGACATGAAGACTTGTTCTCCAGAAGATCCACAAATTCGTTATTTAGACGCAAATATGTGCCAAATATCTGATGACCAATATTTGATATCTACGGCCTGTTCTGATTCAGCCTTTCGTTTATATGTTTTTGATTCAAATTTATTGAATTTGCAAATATTAAAGACAACTTCAGTTAATACAAGTTGTGTGTTAAGAGTCTTAAATGCCTTCAAATCTCATGTAATCACCGCTTCAAACGACGGCACACTTAAAATATGGTCTCTAATGGAGGGATATTTAGATAAATTACTCGCCGATGACTTGCAATCAAAACCAATTGAATTGAATTCAGTCTTTGAGATGCGTACTCATGAGGCGGGCATTAATGCATTGGATATCTGTCTGTTAAATGGTATTTAAATTACCTTTAATTTTGTAAACTTGTTAACAGATTCTGTAATTAATATCCATTTAGTTACAGACGATTTATGGCTTATAGCCAGTGGTGGTGATGACAATGCACTCGTATTATCATTATTTAAACATTCAAACAATAATTTGATGCAAATTTGTTGTACGCAAGAAAAATATAAGCATTCATCACAAATCACAGGTATTTGTCATTGGTTTGAGACTCATTTATAACTAATTGTGAAATTATTCGCAACAATTAAGGCATCAAAATATTATCCCGGAATCGGATATTGAGTGCAGCCATCGATCAGAGGATAATTCTGTGGAAATATGAATTAGATTCCGAAGAATTGTGCCTAAATTTAGAGCCAATCAGTTCTCACGTTTCAAGTATTGCTGACATTTCATCGCTTTTGACAACATTTGTGCCGTGAGTTTGAATAACTAAGAAATCTTTTAGCCGTCATTGCTATTATAACTCATCGCTGATTCTGTATTCATTTTAGTCAACAAAACAAATGGCAATTAATTGTTTGTGGAGAGGGTTTTGAAGCATTAAAATATTCAATCAATTAATTCAGCGCTCGATTTACTTGTAGTCACAACTGTATGACTAGTCGTTGTTTTTCGACTCAATCTTACCTATTATTTCATTAACGTGTGTAACCATTGTTTTTAGCAAACTTTTATGGCAACATTTTTTATAAATATTTTGATACTATATTTTTACTGTATCATTAAATTTATTAACAAAAAAGCAATAATTTATTTAATTGTTTGAATGCATTATTAGTTTGATATTTATTTATTTGAAAATTTTCCACAAAATATTTTTATATTATATAAACTTATGGTTTAATTGAGATCTCTATCTATAAGTTTTATACAATAATTTAATATTTGACAATATACTAAAAAGTATACCGTATATAAAAATTGAAAAACAATTTCATTTATAAAAATATATTTATATATTTTATATATAATTAAAATAATGATTTGTAAATCTTATCTCAAAATACATTAGAAAATTAATAACAAAAATAACAGTTTTGTGATTTCATTTGAAAAACAATTTCATTTATAAAAATATATTTATATATTTTATATATAATTAAAATAATGATTTGTAAATCTTATCTCAAAATACATTAGAAAATTAATAACAAAAATAACAGTTTTGTGATTTCATTTAAGTTGTTAACATTTGTTTTGGAAATATTGGTTAAGTTGTGGTCATCTATATAAGGAATGAATCCATTGTTTCATTTTATGACAAACTTATCATTTCATCTAAACTACAATTTATAATTTAAGACTTTTCGCAAAATATAACAAATAGAAAGTATATCTCATTTTGTAGAAAATAAAAACAAACTCAAAATATCTAGTATAATATCATGAGCAAAAAGTGTTTTTAATTATTTTTATAAATAATAGTAATTATTGTATAATTGATATAACACTTGCTCTCAATTATAGGGCACAACCAACGCATTGATTGATTACATGGGTTTAATCATACGTTATATGACTTTTCATAATTAGTATTCAATAATAAGTTATCATTAATAATAAGACACAGAAATAGTGCACAAAGTAGTGGTCGTATCAAAAGTGGTTAAACATATCAAATGAAATGTTCACTTCATTCATGCATTAATACTATACAAACAAATATACTGTTAATATAGAGGAGATACTGCAGGCACCGGATGGTCAGGAGGAGGGCGGCTGGAAGTACGAGCACTTGAGACAGTTCTGTCTCCAACTCAACCGACTGGCCGTCAAATTACAGACGGAATGCTCGCCGCAGACGTGCACTCAGATGACGGCCACCGAGCAGTGGATCTTCTTATGCGCCGCCCATAAGACGCCCAAAGAGTGTCCAGCCATCGACTACACGCGCCATACGTTGGACGGCGCCGCCTGTCTACTCAACTCCAATAAGTACTTCCCGTCGAGGGTTACCATAAAGGAGTCATCGGTGGCTAAGTTGGGATCCGTGTGCCGCCGGGTGTACCGTATCTTCAGCCACGCCTTCTTCCACCACAAGACCCTCTTCGATGAGTTCGAGAACGAGATGTTCCTCTGCAAGAGATTCACCGCTTTTGTCATCAAATACAACCTCATGTCCAAAGACAACCTCATTGTTCCCATCGTTGGTCTCGACACGTCTGTCACCACTGCCGC